TACTTTGTACTACAAAGCTTGCACAAAGCACCTTCCAGTACTACTTTGTATTATAAAGCTTGCACAAAGCACTTCCCAGTATTACTTTGTACTGCACGGCTTGCACAAACCACTTCCCTTACATACAGTGCTTTTACACATGGCAAGCGTTTACACACACAGAACCTTGTACACAGAGACGCTTTTACACACAGCAAACTTTTACACACAAAATCTTCTACACACAGCAAGCGTTCACACACAGCAAGCGTTTACACACAGAACACTTACACACAGTGCTTTTACACATGGCAAGTGTTTACCACACAGCAAGCTTTTTAAACAGAGAAGCTTTTACAGACAGAGAAGCTTTTAAACACCGCAAGCTTTTACACACCGCAAGCTTTTGCACAGAAAAATCTTTTTCACACAGCAAGCAACCACACACAGCAAGCGTTTACACACAGCAAACTTTTACACACAAAATCTTCTACACACAGCAAGCTTTCACACACAGCAAGCGTTTACACACAGGACACTTACACACAGTGCTTTTACACATGGCAAGCGTTTACACACACAGCAAGCTTTTTAAACAGAGAAGCTTTTACACACAGAGAAGCTTTTACACACCGCAAGCTTTTACACACCGCAAGCTTTCACACAGAAAATCTTTTATGCACAGCAAGCAACCACACACAGCAAGCGTTTACACAGCACTTACACACAGCACTTACACACAGCACTTACACACAGTGCTTTTACACATGGCAAGCCTTTACACACACAGCAAGCGTTTACACACAAAACACTTACACACAGTGCTTTTACACATGGCAAGCGTTTACACACACAGCAAGCTTTTTAAACAGAGAAGTTTTTACACAGAGAAGCTTTCACACACCGCAAGCTTTTACACAGAAAATCTCTTTCACACAGCAAGCAACCACACACAGCAAGCGTTTACACACAGCACTTACACACAGTCCTTTTACACATGGCAAGCGTTTACACACACAGCAAGCTTTTTAAACAGAGAAGCTTTTACACACAGAGAAGCTTTTAAACACCGCAAGCTTTTACACACCGCAAGCTTTTACACAGAAAATCTTTTTCAAACAGCAAGCAACCACACACAGCAAGCGTTTACACACAGAACACTTACACACAATGCTTTTACAAATGGCAAGCGTTTACACACACAAACGTTTACACACAGGAATTACAGCTCCAAAACCGGATCTCGGCGCCAAAGCGAAAAAAGGATAATTTTGAAACACTTTTTAAAAGAATTTTTTAAATGAAAATTACTAGCGCCAAAATTGCGAAGATCTGCTGACAAATCACTTTCGCAGCCTTGATGCAGCCACTCCAGTACGATTTACGAGATCCAGAAATATTACGCATGCAGCCGCGGCACCAAGCAACCTTGACGCAGCCACTACAATGCGATCTGCAGAGACTGAGTTGCAAAACACAATAGAACTACGAGCAACGGCGTCGGAAATTGCAGCTCCAAAACCGGATCTCGACGCCAAAGCAGGAAAAAGACGATTTTGAAGCACTTTTTAAAGATTTTTTAAAAGGAAAATTAATAGCGCCAAAATTGCGAAAATCTGCTGACAAATCACTATCGCAGCCTGGATGCAGCCACTCCAATACGATTTACGATGTTCAGCTGCAAAAGACAATAGTATTACGCATGCAGCCGCGGCACCAAGCAACCTTGACGCAGCCATTCCAATGCGATCTGCAACCAAAGCTTCAAGAAACGGATAGGACTACGCACACAGGAACAACCACTCGTTGCAGAACACAGAGGAGGAATCCAATCGCGTCCGGAACGACCGCAGCCGCAACTGCGCACACACGAGGTACCTTTCATCGCCGGCTGCAGCCACTTTACACGGAAAAATACAAGGTTTCGTGCTCCAGCTTCCTCCCCAAAACAAAGCCCATGCAACATTCATGCAGCCATTCCAATGCGATCTGCAACCACAGCTTCAAGAAACGCATAGAACTACGCACACAGGAACAACCACTCGTTGCAGAACACAGGGGAGGAACCAATCGCGTCCGGAACGACCGCAGCCGCAACCGCGCACACACGAGGTACCTTTCATCGCCGGCTGCAGCCACTTTACACGCAAAAATACAAGGTTTCGTGTTCCGGCTTCCTCCCCAAAACAAAACCCATGCAACATTCATGCATCCTCACCACTTCCCTTCGTCATCACTTCCCTTCGTCACATCACCACTTCCCTTCGTCACCACTTCCCATCGTCACCACTTCCCTTCGTCACCACTTCCCATCGTCACCACTTCCCTTCCTCACCACTTCCCTTCGTCACCACCCTGTGTCATAGCTTCTTATTCTTTTGTTATGTATTGTTATGTTATGTATTGATATGTGATCTACCACCCTTGATCAAGGTCAACTGCATAGCTTCTTATTCTTTTGTTATGTATTGTTATGTTATGTATTGTTTTGTGATCTACCACCCTTCATCAAGGTCAATTCCATAGCTTCTTATTCTTTTGTTATGTATTGTTGTGTAATGTATTGTTGTATGATGTACCACCCGTCATCAAGGTCAATTCCATCAGGTAAAAGTCATTCGTAACTCGGAAGTATTGCTTCCCAACTTCCTTTGACTATGTAAATAGATCAAATTGCAAATCGGAACACATTCATTGATGGTATTTTCTAACTTCCACTGACTTTATAACTTTTACACCTCCACTTATTTGGAGCGACTTTGCAGCAGCTCTTTTCATCTGGCGCGACTGCAGGTCCAGCTGATGACCTGTCCGCAGTTGATGGAGAAAACTCAATGAGTACCAGGAAACATGGCTGACGTTAGCAAAAACAACCTTACTACAAGGTGAGGCCCCTTGTGACGATGGGAAAATATCGGAAAATTGTGATTTAACCTGTCCAAAAATGGTGATTCAGATGGATTTACAGCTGATTTATGATCGCTGATTGGTCTACAAATGGGGTATCCCAATATACCCTAATTGATGATCATGCTCCACTTTAAACTGATCATGAATGTTGGGATTTAAAAAAGCTTGGTTCAGGTATTGCGCAGTGTCAAGTACGAACCCGTTGGAAAATTATCCAAAACCTTGGTTTGTCTTTTTGAAAGGGATTTCCTTACTTCGTTGGAGAACATGATATTTTCCAATAATATTAATACAGAGGTACGTCAATAGCCCCCGAACGAATCATCAACCGACCATGTTTGTCAAGTCCAGTCACATGCACTTTCGTGCTTGAGGCCCCTCTCTTTGCTGTTGTTTTGATGACCAGCAAATGGAAGGCTGACAACAAAAGACCAGTGTCTCAAAGCCATAGCCCCGCACCCCGCACACACCACCACACACCACCACACACCACCACAACAACATCATGAACATCATCAGGAAATCGGTAACATCATCATCACCATCAACATCAACAACAACATGTCGGCGGCACAAATAGTAGGATTGGGTTACACACATGACCCGTATATATGATCCCGTGTCTCGTGATCACGACCCCGTCTCGTGATCGCGACCCCCCCAACCAAACTTTGGAGCTAACCCCCCACCCCCACACCCCTTCACCACATCCACAGGGGGGAAGGGCACATAGACATAGACAAATGCATTTGCATATATACATGTACATATACACATACACATACACATACACACACATACATATACATAGATACAAATTACATATACTTACAGGTACACACATACGTATGTATATAAATCAAAAAACAATACATAAGTAAATACATAAATGAACAAATCGATAAATAGACAAACAAATGCAAAGAACATCATCATCATCATCATCATCATCATCATCATCATCATCATCATCATCATCATCATCATCATCGCGCGTGGGGAGGGGAAGGGGCTACCAAACAATGGGCCATATAAATGTATGGTTTGCCTTGCGTACACATGGTGTCATTGACGTAGCTGTTGGTCAAAACTCAACGCGCTGAAGCCTGGATAGATCATTCTCGTCAGTTCCTGGTATCCAAAATTGAAAAGACACAAGGTGCTTACTGCTTGGTACACAACCAAAAAAAGGTTGTAACAATGCCACTGATCTCTCCAACATTGACCCCTCACAAATACCATCGTTGCGTGATCAGTGTAATGGATTGTAGTACATGGTTGAATACGGATCCACAAATCCTGGGGGCCTTTTCGGGCTGGCGTGAGAAGAGGCAAATGGACCGAAAATGTTCTCGCTTTGGCCATGACCATTTTTAACAACCCTTTTTTTGAACAGGCAGGCGCACAAAGAGAAATTAAAAACAAAATCATGGAGGTGGCTGCAGATGGGGGGTGGTGGTTTCAAGTAGTTGGCGCTGTTAGATTTTAGTGGTGTCGCCTACGGGAAGGCCACGTGATAGGCCGCGCACATGGACCAGTTGACCGGCGCCTTGTGAGGCTGTGAATGTCCATGTTGTCCAGAACCTCAGAGCCGGTGGCAAGCTAAATTCGCCAACTCTTTCCAAGTCTTTTTGGAACATACGATAATTTGAAGTTTAAAGATGGATAACAAGTGAGATTGAAATGAAGGTATCTATGCATACGGTTGTTTGGAGCCAACATCAAGGTTCCAAAGAAGCTGATCCTGCCCAAACTCGTCGCGTTGACTGTCCATCAGGATTTTGTTGGAATCAATCCCTAATTGAACTTGACTTGAGCACGTGAACCATTCTGAGCCTGATGGTACTGCTTTTGATCGAAAATGGCCCGAGAATCTCAAGGCAAGCCACTGTTCAATCATCCAGGCCTTGCGCCGAGTTCCTTGGCCAGACGACCATCAGTCACATCATGCTGTGCAACAAACAAAAGCCATTGCCAATTGTCGGATCATTGAACCATTGCATCTGTCTTGTGCTTCAAATGTCATGAAATCTATTGAATCTGGTGCTCTGTTCTCGTTGACATGCTGTGCAGAGTCCAAGATTGTGACAGTGGATTCATGTTCATTCTTTTGCGCAAGAGGGCTTTAGAGGGCAAGCCGCTTCATAGCAACCGACCAAGCGGTTACTGCATAAGCAAATCCATGTATATAGATCAATCCTGATCAGGAATCGATCTGTTCTATTCTAGGAACTCCCACTGTTCGATCCACAATGATCCAAATTTCAAGGATATCTTTTCAAAAGGTGGCCACACCTCTCAGAGAAGCAGCCACAGAATTAAGCCTTCTTGCCTTTGCCTCGTCCCTTCTTACCACCCTTTTGTTGAGCAGTAAGGAACTCAAAAACTTGCTCCTTCTGGTGCTTCATCTTCGTCTTTGCAACCGGCCGCTTTCTCTCTACCACCTTGGGAACAGGGATTTGCGTCACCTTCTCCAGGGTCGATTGAGGAACACAAACATCAATGGCATCATAGGAATCCTCCATGGTGTGCAATCTGCTTGGCAGATGGTCTAAAGCTGTCTTATCTTGGATTTTGGCACGGAGAGTCCGCCTGATGGTTGCTCCGGTCTCCTCTGATACTGTTTCCGGAAGCTCAAAGGTGTGAGCAACATACCCGTGCACTTCAAATCCTCTGTATGTGCTGTGGCAGTGTACAGATCTTCCCATGTTCTCTGTTGACAGCGCTGACAACCATTTTGCCTTTTCATCACCATCTTCTTCACCACGTTCAGGTCGCTGCACTCTCTCCGACCCAAAATCATATTCTTGTACCAGCACTTTATCCAAGAGGCCAAAGTTGCGGATGACCCGCACAACAAACAGCCGGCGGTTGCTTAAGGAAAAGAGCTCTCCAGTGCAAGATTCCCGAAGTTGTTTGATGAACTTGGATGCTTGGGAACTTCCTTGTGAAATGTCCAAAGATGACAAAATTGAATCGATCACCATCTCATCATCCAGCGTTGCCCGAGTAAGCCGGAAAACTTCCATGGGTGGGAACTCATCAAAGGTCAGTTCCTCCAAACGCAGACGATCGATGGTTGCATCAAGACCATTTCCAGATCTGAACTTGTGGTGGATGTGGCCGTGCGTGAAGCGGATTTTGGATGGATCTACGGAAAGCAGCTTCGATTCACCATACCACTCACGTGGATGAAGATGACCGCATGCCTGCTTTGCTCGGCTACACTTCATTCCATCCCGGCATACGTTTGGCCTCTGAGGATGCTTCTTGGAACAGTCACTGTAGAGGCACAATTTCCCAAACGGGCAGTGCTCTCCGAACCAGCTCCGTGGATGTAGAAAATGGCATTGCTCATTCTCACAGTCGCTGGCGTGCTTGCATGCTGGCCTTCGCTTTGGGTGCGCTGTAGCAGAGCAGTCAGAGTAGCGGCAGTTGCCGCCATCAGGACATATGATTCTCGATGTCGGATGTGCAAAACGACAATCTTGTCTAGAGCAGGCTTCACCATGCTGACAATCAGCACGCACAACCTCTTGACTGTACCAAGCTTCTGGATGAATGTATCGGCACTCATCCTTCCCTCTCAAGCAATTCGCACCGTAGCTACAAGGAGAAGGCCTGTGAGGGTGAGAGTTTGGACAATCCGAGAAAAGGCACTCAGCCCCATCTGGGCACTCATTCTTGCTGCAGCGTGCAGACCAGGAGCGAGGATGGAGAAAATGGCAATCAATCAGTGCGCAAGCAGCACCATTGTTGCATGGAGGCCTCCGAGGAGGATGAGAGCACTTGCAGTCACTGTGAGGACAGGCATCGCCAACTGCACAAACCACCCAATCCGCTGGATGCTTGAAGTGACATGTGGACCTGAAACACTCTGTGCCATATTTACAGGGAATGTCTTCCGGATCTTTCTCGCCTGCACGTGTGCCAGGGTGGCGGAATGCACAAACTGTTGAGCGGCATTCAAGCCCATAGCGGCAGAGAATCTGGGACTTTGACGGCATTGCAGGTCAGCTGTGAATGTCTGTAAATAATCGTGGCCAGGCATGTTTTGGAGTCTTGGCTTATTCATGTTTATTTTCAGCGGTTCCATGTGGATTCGCTGAATTCCTCTGGCCGGAGCTGTTCACTATCGTTGGTGGTTGTAAGTCCGATCATGCATCGACTTCACACCGGTGGGTTACGTCTCTCTCAATACATTTTGCTTGAAGCATCTTGAAGCTATTTGCTGAGAGCATTATGTTTGGTCGCTACACTCCTTCATAAAATATCAGTTAATATCATACAATCCCACACATAGATGTGCTCAGTAACTATAATCGAAGTGTATAGGACGTGTTTTGAGCCACGCTTTGCAGCAATGCTTCGAGGTTCAACTCCCAGGTCTTATCCGTGTTGAAAAATGCAGTAGGATCACAAGAATATGCCATCCACTCAAAACAGCACCCAGGACCTTTGCAAGGGTCTTGATGAAATACGAGAAGCTTCTGGCCCATCTGAGGGTGTGGCTGTGGTGTGAGAAGTTAAGCGCCAGCCTCCGCCAGTGCAAAATTGGATGCGAAGAGTGGGTTGGGGTTGGGCATGGTTGGCACTGGCATGACAGGGATCCATATCTATGAAACAATTCGAGCACCTTTTAATGGCCTCGAGCAGAAATCAGGAAGGTTATACCTAGATGATTCGATACCAAATTTTAGTTTACATTTGATGGTGTTGGTATACTATATACTGGAATCAATGAATTGATGAAGTTCAAAAAAAACATATTTTTTTCATGAAATTGTTGCGTTTATCGACCCAACTGTTGATTGCTATCTTCAGGGAACCAATGGCACAGTGCATGTGAGGCATGGGGGATGTCACAGACCAACACCATCCTAAACATCCCACTGAGAATTTGCGGCATCTGCGGGCAAATGAAGGAGATCATCAAACTCCCGTTTTCTGAACCTCGCGGACTGGGCCATCGAAGCACATCTGGGGGTTCGACCACCAACAAAGTTAACATGTTCTCTGAGTCCTTTCTGGTTGTAGTATGTTGTAATCCCTTCCCCCTAATACTAAACGCCTCCCCCAAATAATAAACACTTCAGGTATTTATTTTTTATTATTAGGAGGTATTTACTTTTAGAGTTCCCCCTTATTCTAAATTTAAAACCCTAATATAAAAAAAAATGTTTTATTTCAAAATCGATTCGATTTTCTTTTAAAATCTAATGAAAATATTGCCAAAAATTGGATTTCGAAGTTTCCCCCTAATAGTAAATTTGAAACCCTAATACAAACAAATATTTTGTTTTATTTCAAAATCGATTAGATTTCCTTTTAAAATCTAATGAAAATATTGCCAAAAATTGGATTTCGAAGTTTCCCCTTAATAGTAAATTTGAAACCCTAATACAAAAAAAATATTTTGTTTTATTTCAAAATCAATTAGATTTCCTTTTAAAATCTAATGAAAATATTGCCAAAAATTGGATTTCGAAGTTTCCCCTTAATAGTAAATTTGAAACCCTAATACAAACAAATATTTTGTTCTATTTCAAACTCGATTAGATTTCCTTTTTAAGATCTAATGAAAATATTGCCAAAAATTGGATTCCGAAGTTTCCCCTTAATAGTAAATTTCAAACCCTAATACCAAAAAATATTTTGTTTTATTTCAAAATCGATTGGTTTCCTTTTAAAATCTAATGAAAATATTGCCAAAAATTGGATTTCGAAGTTTCCCCCCAATAGTAAATTTGAAACCCTAATATAAAAAATGATTTTGTTCTATTTCAAAATCGATTAGATTGTTTTTCCAAATCTATTTAAAATATTGCCAAAAATTGGATTTCAAAGTTTCCCCCTAATATCAAATTAAAATTTTTAATATAAAATATGTTTTTTCGACCTTCAAAGACGGACCCCCTGGGGTTGACTTGTTTTATTAGGGTGTGAAACCTTGAAATGGTACCTTCATTTGTAAATTATTTTGTAAAGGGATCAATTAAAAATTTTCCCAACCTCAAATTTTCCAAAATTGGAGACGGACCCTAGTTTTTATTATTTAGGTTGGGTTTAGCAATAGGGGGAAGGGATTAACCAACTTGGAGATTTGAAAGACCTCGGCAAAAGACTCATCTCAGAAAAATCATGGAAATTCATGATCATATTCATGACAGGCTGCAGTTGTTTGAAAAGAGAAACTCTGAAAACCAAAAAAAACAGATCAACCTTAGGTCAGACTCATGAACCAACGGAAACACATTTTATCATTTTGCATGGTTATTTGGGACGTTCAGTGGTTTGAGCCGATGCAATATAATTACCGATCTTGGTTTTTGATAATCCCGGATAATTTTGATGATGTATCCATGGGTTGCAAAATAATTTCCAGAATTTTATATTACAAAACAAGATGCAGCCCACGAACCCGAATGCTCACACGTATGCTAATGGTACTTGAGAAGGGGGGACACGAAAGGCAGTTGTGTCGCAGGTGACGCAGGTGAGTGATGATAATAAGATGGCAGGGTGGGTGGTCGATGCTCTGTGCTGCTGATGATGATGATGATGATGATGATGATGTTGATGATGATGATAATGCAGGGCCACTTGACTCAATCGATGCTAACCCTGGCGCACTAAATCCCTGATGGTGCAAAATCATCAGTGGTTCCGACCTCTTCCTTTTCACATGTGTGCTAAACGTCAGAATGCCATAACAAGGCAATCAAAAATCCACTAATTGTTCCACTTGTTGTAGATGATCCACATGTTGAAAATGAATATTATCTGTTGGTGTCTTAGATTATCAGAGGGATCCAGATAAATATAGCCGTGGTTCAAAAAGTTGCTGCCTAGTTACCATCCAAGTTAGACTCTCACGGGTGGGAGATATTCCGAACATGGTATCATGGGCCAAATGATCATCAGATAAACATCAGAAACGCTAATAAATCATAAACAACCGAGCGCTTGGGTAAACGTATGAAATGACGACGATGATGACAATGATGACGATGATGATGACGATGATGATGATGATGACGATGATGATGATGATGACGACGATGTTGAGCCATTCAGAAAATCATCCGCGGTCCAAATGGAAGGAAGGTACCATATGATCTGGGGGGGGAGGGAGGGAGGGAGAGGGGGGGGGGGAGGAGGGGGGTCCCTTTCTCCTGGTCGTTCAGGGATAAGGGGTCCAGCCCACCCCTTTGCTTCGCAAAGTAAAACTCAAGGTAGCCCGTTGGGAGGCTACCTTTCGTGACAAATGTCGAAACACATAGAGAGGAAAACCTCATAGATGTTGCAATCCGTGGTTGCAGCCAATTTTGTATCTTCGGCAGAGCATGATTGTGCGATGAGGACGCCACATGTAGTGCAAAGTGCGAAGTGTAAAATGTAAAGTGTCGGGTGTAGAGTGTGGAGTGCAAAGTGTAGAGCGTTGAGTGAAGTGTGAAGTGTGGAGTGTCAAGTGCAAAGTGCGCAGCGCGAAGTGTAAAGTGAAAAATGTAAAGTGTGGAGTGTAAAGTGTAAAGTGTAAAGTGTGGAGTGTAAAATGGTAAAATGGTAGTGTGGGGAGCGTAAAGTGTACAGTGCGAAGTGTAAACTGTAAAGTGCAAAGTGTGGGGTGCAAAATGTACATTGTAAGGTGGGAAGTGCAGAGTGTAGATTCTGGAATGTAAAGTGCAAAGTATAGAGTCTGGAGTTCTGAAACCTTCAGACATGAGAGGTTTCGCAGTTTCCCCCAAAAGCACGGCGATGCCACAACAAAGCCAGAGTTCTACATGGACTTCAATTTTCTATTTTTTAAATATATATATATCATAATATATATATATATATGTGTGTAGTTCAATTAAGTTCCCAAAGAACAACGCTTCCAAAAAGTTCGGATTCTTAAATCGAAAGGTTCAAAGCACTCGGACTGTATTATTATTCCTTTTTCGCTTGCTGGATTTATTTATCTCAGGAGTTCCAACCAACAGCTTTATTTGGTGGAATGAACAGATGGATACCAAACCCCCCCCCGGGTCAAAACCAAACAAATGAGATAGGAAAACCAAAAAAATTGTGTGTTGTTTTTGTTTGGGGTCGGGGTGTGGATATCCAAGATAGGGGACTCCCCATCTTTAAGAAAGGAAGTAAATACTTCGCACACGTCCACTCCGCGTGACACCCGGTCAGCGCACTCTTACTTGAAAACTGACCAAAAAAAATTTGGCCAGTTTCACCACGCGAGTCCGTGTATTCGTCGCCACGCAATCATTTCTTAGATGGACGCATTCTTAATCTTAGGTAATGCATGCCCGTTTCATAATCTCAGCCCCAGACTTAATATTACGCTCTTCTTTTTTTCTCTCCTTTAATTGGCCAGTGTCCGAAAGTCAAGTCAAGAAGGTTGACTCTGGCAACTTCTTCCGTCCCAGTGCATAAAACCGAAGGGCCTTCACTTGCATCCGCCCTCAACGACGTCTTCGGGTCACCACGGACCAATCAAGCTCGCCCCTTTGGGCTTCTTGGCCGAAGAAAGTGATTTGATCATTCCCTCCTTCCTCTTCCTTCTGATCTCTTTGACTTCATCGAAAGAGCTCGCTCCCTTTTCCACAAAGTTCCTTGAACTGGTTGTCCAGGAGCTCCCCCGGTCTTACCTCGATTCTCAAATCCATTTTTTTTCCTCTGGTTTGGCCGATGTCGCTCTGAGGCTCGGTCCTGTAATTGGTGTAAACACAGAGGAGGCCCGCACATGCGAAGCCTGATTTCAATTGACTTTCCGGCCCCAGAAATGGAACCTGAAAGCGCACATGTGGTATCAGCTGTCTCCGTTCCCTAGCTCCAATGTGGCGATTTGCGATGCAGCACCACCCAGGCAACATTCACCAATCCTTCGCTACTCCGCGCTACTCCGCTACTCCGTGCTATGTTTTAATTCAAGTGCCCAATGTAATTGACACGATATCGAAACGATGGCGGAGTAAGAAAGCCTTCAATACTTCACATTCCCACATCT